AGAGCGAACTCAAGTAATTGCGTAAAGCTAAGTTAAATATGCGAACGTTTCTGCGTTCGCAATAATACGGTAAATGGAGCTGAATGAGACGTTTCAAAAAGGGCCAATGCGTATATCAGGTGTATGCTGCAATGTTGCTGATTTGTCCATATTTTAATAAGTAAGATTCAACAATCCTCTCTGGAAATTTCCCATTTTAAAAAATTGTACATGATACAATGGACGTAGGCCTATATCTAATACCTTACGTCCATGATGATACATACGAATAAATAAGTTTAACCCTAAGGTTTCTGTTGTGTCATTAATAATTTTACATATAACCCCAGACCATCTTTATTCAACTTAAACTTAAACTACACAGGTATGCCATACAGAGGATACCATCCGAGTCGACTTCAAAATGCTGTTCAGGGTTACAAGGCCGGTATGTCACTTGCCGAATCCAGTGAAATATTCGGTGTGCCAAAATCAACCATTCATGACTATGGGACAGGCCGCATGGCATTTGGTGCTTCGCCCGGTAGAAAGCCAATACTCCCAGATCACTTAGAGCATAAATTAGTAGACTGGGCCTGTAATCTGGCCGACCTAGGAATAGGCATTAGCAGGGCATGCTTTATAGAAAGGGCTGGTGAGTTAGCCAAGAAATACAACGTCGCCATTGGGAAAAATGGACTGTCTGACAAATGGTGGCGAGGCTTTAAAAACAGGCATCCAAACATCAGCCTTTTGAAGCCTGAGCCAACTGCAGGTATTTACTCAGTTGGCAAATATAAGGATAGTATTCACTCCCCGATTCTGCCTGAGTTGCTTTTAACCCTAGCCTATGACATCCATGTTCTATTAACTTTGTAAACTTAAGACAACACGTGTTATTTTATGTTCTATTATTATAATAAAACATATTATTAACTAACTATGGATTATCTGCAACATTTTTGTCACACGATGGCTATAAGCACCCTCCCTGTACACGAACGGCATAAACGGGGCTTGAATACTATATCAGTGAAAATGGCTCATCACCGCTTCTTCTATTTGCCAAATATTGAAAATAAACAATTATCGTTTTAACTAATCAATATCAATAGGCATATACCTTGTTTATCTAAGTCGTCAAAACAATAAATCCAAGTTGAAAAGATAAATTGTCACATAACATTTTACCATGTAAGTTGCAACATAATTATTAATTCAACTGAGAAAAATGATTTATATGTACATGATGTAATGTAATGGAAAATTCAAAACGTTTAATTTTTTATTCATAGATTGTAAAGGAGTAAACAAAGCGCTAAAATAATAAGAAAAATATATTGTCAATCATTTTATAATCATTTTTACGACAAACACGTTTACAAATAGCTCGAGGAAAAGTTCTTTGTTAAGATACCATGAAATTAAGATGCAACATTCTTACATCATCATTATGTGAATATGTATTGTACATATACATTTTAAGTGTAAATAAAGATAGATTTAAAATTATAGGTAAAATGCATACCTTGTTTGTTGCAGCGAACCGACACAGACAAATGGACTTCAGAACGGTCAAGTATTACTTTGACGACTTGGACCACATAATGACATATTTCAATATGCACGATGACCCCAGCAGATTATGGAATGCAGATGAGACTGGGTTCTGCCTCAGCCACAAGTTCGTGAAAGTGATTGCACGGAAAGGCACCAAGTCCCTCCAAGGAAGGACCAGTTCTAACAAGGACAACGTATGATTTTTGCATTGTGTCAAACTTATTAATAAATTCTTCTTTTAAACTGTCTATAAGATTTCAAATCACAAACGTTAAGATGGTCCTATATGGGTACTCTTTCAATGATTAAAATTATGTCTCCTCTCTCATACCTCTTTTCAAATATGAATTGTATGTATGAATCTTTCGATCTGATGCCAAGATCGTACACGTAATGAGATTTTTTAAAAGTTAATTATTATTCTAATGGCAGAGCGAGATACACTGTATAAGATATGCAACATTGCAAGAAACATGCCCGACCAACCTACCAATATATTGTCCACCGTCTCAAACATATTATCTCCAAAACGTGAGGATAATTTGGAAATCCACATTCATAGATCAAAACCATGAAATAAAGGGAATGAAAGGAATTAAAAAAAAGAAATAGGCTTATCAAGAATGATATGAGCCGAAATCATTAAATTGAGGCATTTTGTAAAAATTCAGATCGATCGATATAATTCTGTTTTATAATCGCAGTTAGTGCTAAATCTCTGGAGCAAGACAAGCCCATTAAAGGGCATTGTATATAAAAGGGATAGATCTTTAAATCTAATTTCTCACTCAGAATTTGTCGTTGTTTCTTTTTAGTTTAAATAAATTATATAAATCTTGCATTATTATTGACTATTGTTTGAATAAGCATGAACTTCATTGCGTTTAATTTCATACTAACAATGTAATCTCATCGTATCGTATCATCAGATTTTTCTTTCCATGTTTTCACTCAAAAGTAGATTTTTATCCTTTTCTGAGAACTTTGACATGCCTGGCTACGGCCATGCCTAGTGGAGCAAACATTTGAGAAATGATTAGCCATAATTCGAATTTTAATTCTACTCAAATCGCCGATATGACTCATTTACTTTTTAAAGGATCGAGGGAAGGTTATAACATTGCAATTGTGATTGTAGGTCACGTGCATGGCTTTCGGAAGTGCGAGTGGAGCAGTGGGGCCGCCACACCTCATCTTCAAGGGAGTCACGATGAAGGCTCTTGATAGCGTTGACACCACCTATGCCCCTATCGGATGCCGGTTTTCAGTGTCAGAGACTGGATGGTCGAATCGTGAAATAGGTCTGTTGTGGTTCAGAGGGGCCTTCCTTCCTACCATCGGGGAAAAACGTCCGGTTCTGCTGATACTTGATGGGCATGACTCCCACCTGACAAAAGACGTGGCAGAATATGGGTTTGAGAATGGCGTGATAATCATTATTTTGCCACCTCACACGACTCACTATTTGCAGCAACTGGATCGAACAGTCTTTGGCTCATCTAAGAAGAACTGGGACAGCGAGTGTTCGAAATACACAAGAGAAACACCAGGTGTTCCAGTAGGAAGGAGCAATTTTTGCCAAATATTTGCTAAAGTTTGGGAGAAATCCGTAACGTCTGAAAATATAATCAGTGGCTTTCGAGCAACTGGGGTGTACCCATTTAACCCCGATGCAATTCCAAAAGCTGCCTATTTACCATCTTCGCTTGAGAATGAGGTCGCACCTACTCGCATGACAAAACCAGTAAATCCAGCAGATTGTTGCCATCCAAAATATGTTTCTACATCTACTACTTCAACTGTCGTTTCACAATCCACCGTACGTCCTACCACTCCCAAAGATATATCTACTGCTTCAACTGTCGTTCCACAATCCACCGTACGTCCTACCACTTCCAAAGATATATCTACTGCTTCAACTGTTGCTACACAATCCATCGTACGTCCCAGCACTTCAAAAGATGTATCTACTGCTTCAACTGTTGCTACACAATCCAACGTAGGTCCCAGCACTTCAAAAGATACTGACCTGGCAGATGATAGAATATGTCCAAGCGCTACGAGTGCCCTGGCAGACATCCCTGTGATTGATACCACAACCATTGCCTCTGCTTCAATTGTGAGACCGACTGCTTCTTCTTCATCGGATGTATCACTAGAATCACCATTTGACAGCATGGACATCGAAAGTCTTCCCACAGATGTGTCTTTAACGACCTCATGTCCTCCGAAAATGGCGCTGAAGACACTTGAAGATGCTATTGGCCCAAAGGATCTTAAATTATACAAGAGGAGGGAAGCTGCAGGTTTCAGGTCCTCCGTAGATGCAACATACGCGACATGGCTCAAACTGAAAGAAAGCATTCCCGATGAACTGGAAAATGGAAAATGGCCGTTTATGAATACATCTTCCCCCACCGATGAAGATAGTGATATCCTCAAATATCCAAAGAAGTCATCCAAAACATCAAATGAAACGCGCAAACATTTCATCATTACCAATGCTGACTATATAGAAGCAAAAAGAAGAAAAGAAGAGCAGAAGTTCCAACTTAATCTAGAAAAAGAACAGAGGAAAGATGAAAGACTTAAGAAAAAAGAAGAGAAAGAAAATGGAAGAAAACACAAGCTAAAATCATTGGTAACTGACAAAAGAACGATTCACGGAAAACCAGGTATGAAAAGAGCAATAAACAAAAATGTACTTCTCATGTATTTAAAGATCAGGGCCCCTGTAATAAACAATCAAATTCTCTCACACCTCTTAAAGTCATTAGGGGCATAGCAATGATCCTAAGAGTTTTTGATAGGTGAGCCAAAGTGAGATGAATATCTGAATTATTTTTCTAATGGTTGATACTGCCTCGTCTGCATTCCTTGCTAGGCCTACATCCTTGTTTATAACGTGAAAACTTGACCATGTCAAGTCACTGAATATTTCAATCCTCAGATCGCGTCTTCTTAGAAATGTTTAAGAGATGAATAGAATCATGTATGTGGATATTGATATCAATTAATATTTGTTACAGAGGCAACAGTGACAGTAACAGTAGAACCAGTGCCACAAATTACAGAGGCAACAGCGCCAGTAACAGTAGAACCAGTGCCACAAATTGAAGAACTAGAAAGACACCTAAGTGAACGGAATATATTTGAAGACTTTCTCTAAATGCGTCTGAATAGGTTGAAAGCGTCTGAATAGACTGAATATGTCTGATCAATAGGCTGAATTGACTGTTGTAAATTGAATTGACTAATAGGCCTATACTTTTTTAATAATTCCTTTTAGTGTCATCTGTGACATACATATCCATATTACAACAGATATATGTACTATAGTTAGGATAGGTTGTACTATTGTATAATTGTAGTTCTACATAAACTAAATCAATGTGCATTTTAGAGATTTTAGTATATATTACGTTCATTTCATATTTTGATTGAAATTGAATAAAAAAGAAACATAAATCCATTCTATTTCATGGTACAGAATGCGTACGAATTATAGTAAACGATTTGGAAACGTGACAATATACGGTAACATTGCATGCAATACTACACTGATTTTTTTCATAACCAATGGTCTCTAAGAATTGGCAATTGCAACCAAAACAGTAAATTGCCTTATAAAATTCAATCTTAAAAGTCAATCGATCTTACTTGAAAAATTACTCCTTTTGTGCATTTTGATAAAAATAAAGAAAAGAAAATGAGTTACTATTTCTGTTTCATATTTTAATTTTCAGATAACAGTAGTATTAAAAGAATAGAAAGTATAAACATATAAGATATAGATGAAGGTTGTCGTACTGTACCCAGTGGATGTTGTTGGGATGTGGCATCAAGCTAAGGTTGCTGACCTTGGAATCACCAAGAGCTACAGCTTAAAGCGGGAACCTTCAAATAGCAATGACAGGAATGCGTTTGCAGTAATGGATGGCGGTATGTTGTATCTTGCAACGAGTCGGAATAAGTGATTGTACAAAAATGTTGCGAAGAATGAGAATAACGTTTAATAACCATCGATTTATGTATTTTGGTAATTATGACAGTGTTCTCAAAGAACAGAAGTTAAATCATTTCAAACAAACTCGGATACAGGTCTGCATAAGTGTGAAATTCATGTCGCCTAAATTCTTCATCCTAGACTCAACTCGTCAAATCGATCGCGTTTCTGAAATGTGCATGATGATGTAGGACTTATAAATATACTTGTGCACTTTATTTCTCTAAAATTTCAGAAAAACGTATGGGATATTTAAAGTGGGAAGACGCGGAGCTTATTTCTCCAATAGTGGATGAAAATAGAGAAACTATCAGGAAATTGTGGTTTAAAGCCAGTGAAGTCTCACGGCCGAGTAAAAGAGGACCAATGCAGAAAGGCCAAATTGCATTCTACATTGAAGAGTCTGATGAAACACGGATGAAGACTTTATTTCCGTCAAGATTCATGCTCTCTGTAAAAAAGACAAATTGATTTTTGTATAACCTGATAACTGACCTTTTAGTCATAAATTCAAATACCAGATCGCCTTAGAAGTTGTACTGGACAATGCGTTTGCAATAGTATATATTTCCCAATCACAATACAATTACTTTTTATTTTATCTCAGTATTCTAGGACTTGAAAGCACTTAGAAGAAAACTATAAAAACTAATACAATCAACCAAAGATTATAACTGAAATAAATCACGGCAATCATCATTTTCTGCATAAAAATTACGAATATTGAAACTGAAGCAGCCAGCTTTCCTTCGTATACCCAAGCTGTGTGTATATTAGATGTGAGGAGGAAACATCGCTCCACAACAATATATTACTTTATGAATAATAAATTGATTCAAATATGATATCAAGTTTTTACAGCATCGGAATAAGCAGAAATTAAATTCTCGTCAGTCTTATAATCTTTCTAGTTACAAATCAAGGTAACAAAGCAGCATGTCACATAGACCTAAAAATGAAACAAATGACACTTTAGCTTGCTAAATGCAAAAAGGTACTAACGAGTGCGTTGAATATAAACAACATTGGCTAAATTTATATGTACGTCTTTATTTTAAGTTGCGTAAGTTGGTGAATAGTATCTTGTGTGAGTTGACGAATCGACTTTCCGAATTTAGGACGACCAGTCCGAAGTTAGGACGGGTGTTATGATATGTTGTGGCGTCCATTTGTGCGTTTCTGTGTTACCGGGGAATACTTTCATATTATTTATTATCAACAACAAAGTCATTGCTTTCCAATTTCAAACATATTTTACCACATATTTAGATTTTACTCGTTTGACAAGCCAATCTCTCTGAAACTGTCCGAAATATGGACAGGCTCCCCTATTTACTGATAAGATCATTCTTTATTAGTTTTTCGAATTTCTTAACATACGTTGCCTTTTTGAAGTATATAGCCAGTGAGTTATATAATGTTTCTCCTCTACGGAAAGCTATAGGGGACATGCGCATAATTCAAAATCGAATGGAGTTTTAACATGGGAGTGATATCACACACCGCGGCCCAGTCAGATAGATTTCATCGCGCACTGAATGAATGACAGGGGCCGCGTTTTGCAAAGTTAATTAAAATAAAGTGCGCAGAAATTCCGGCATTCAGTGCGCGATGAAAAAATGATTATCTGTGAATAAATAACGAATAAAAATTCGTAGCACCACGAATTTGATTTTTTTCGAAAGACTGCGCAGTGACCCAGCGAAATGACAATTTTGGATAATATTGATGGCTCTAACGAGGAGAACTTTGAGATTTCCCGATTCTAGCGCGCAGCACATCCAGGACATGCGCACTTTTATCAGATTCGATTCTAATATGGTCTCAAAGATAATGTTCATTAAAAGAGGGCGTATGCATACATATTGCACGTTGCGTTATGTTGAAGTGACCCTTGCAAAGGGTTCCATTGAAAATATATTATTTTGGGCCATTTCATATCTTTTAATTGATATTGTATAAAATATTTTCAATGTTTGAAAATTATAATCTTATAAATAACATTTAATGTAATAAAACTGTAACGAAATGGTAAATACGGAATATGATGCAATACAATGCAGTGCAATATGATGTTATACAATGCAGTGCAATATGATGCAATACAATGTGGTGCAATATGATGTTATACAATGCGGTGCAATATGATGCAATACAATGCAGAGCAATATGATGCAATACAATGCAGTGCAATATGATGCAATGCAATGTAGTGTAATATGATGCAATACAAAGCAGTGTTATATGATTCAAAAAATGCTGTGCAATATAATACAATACAATGTAGTGCAATATAATACAATAAAATGCAGTGCAATACGATGCAATACAATACAATGCAATATAATGCAATACAATGCAGTGCAATGCAATACAGTGCAAAACAATGCCGTGCAGTGCAATACAATGTAGTTCATTTCAATACAATGCAGTGCAATACAATATGGTACAGTGCAATACAATGTAGTGCAATACAATACATCGCAGTTCAATACAGTGCAATACAATGTAGTGCAATGCAGTGCAATAAAATACAATACAGTGCAATTCAATACAATGCAATACAACACAGTGCAATACAATACAATGCTGTGCAATACAATACATTACACTGCAATAAAATACAATGCAGTGTAATAAAATACAGTGTAAATCAAGACAATGCAATACAATACTGTACAATACAATACAGTGCAATATAATACAATGCAGTACATTGCAATGCAGTGCAATACAATATTGTGCAGTGCAATATATTGCTGTGCAATACAAAGCAATGCAGTGTAATACAATACTGTGCAACACAATGTGGTACAGTGCAATACAATACAGTGCAATACAATACATCGCAGTTCAATACAGTGCAATGCAATGTAGTGCAGTGCAGTGCAATAAAATACAATACAGTGCAATTCAATACAATGCAATACAATACAGTGCAATACAAAACAATGCTGTGCAATAGAATACAGTACACTGCAGTAAAATACAATGCAGTGTAATAAAATGCAGTGTAATTCAAGACCATGCAATACAATACTGTGCATTACAATACAGTGTAATATAATACAATGCAGTGTACTGCAATGCAATGCAATACAATATGGTGCAGTGCAATATATTGCAGTGCAATTCAAAACAATGCAGTGTAATACAATGCAGTGCAACACAATGTGGTACAGTGCAATACATTATAATGCAGTGCAATACAATACAATGCAGCGCAATACAATGTAGTACACTGCAGTACAATACAATGCAGTGCAATAAAGTACAATGCAGTGCAATATAATATAATACAGTGCAATACAGTACAATATAATGCAATAGAATACAATGCAGTGCAATACAATAAAATGCAGTACAATACAATACAATGATGTGCTATACAATACAATACAATGCAATGAAATGCAATTCAATGCTATGAATGTACACCTTCTACAGTCAAATAAACACAGATAAAATTGTAATAGTATGTTAGTGTATGGAGTTTGAAGTGGGTGGGGGATACAATTACCAGTCTGCTGATTGATGACTTAATAACTTAGAAAAGATCTCCTAGCTTTTAACAGGTGGCACTTATGTCTACCTTTTGTTCTTGAACAATCTCGTCTAAGAATACAGACCCGTATCCTGGATTAACCTGGGGGAGTGGTTTTACCAAGGGGGAGATTTTGCCAAGAGGGGGGAGCTTTTTGACAGTTATGGCAAAAAAATCATGCGAAAAGTGCTAAGAATGGTGAAAAACTGCATGATTTTGAACGAATATTTGGCAAGGGGGAGGGGGGTGAGGCCCCCTGGCTACGGCCATGTAATACATATAGGAACTTTCCTTCTCCCAGAAGAAATGGTATACAGGTATTACATCAATCATTCTGGTATTTTGTATACGAAGGTCTGTAGTTACTTTATTGAAAGATGGCAGTGTACACTGTGTACTACCATTTTGAGGTCAGTTTGACTTTATAATTCTGCGCACTATAATCTGTAATTCTCATAGATATCCTCTCTAGAGGCATCACTGTGATCCAAAATTACAATTTCGCAGGTCAAGTCTGCAGTCTTTCGAAAAAAGTTGAATTCGTTGTGCTACCCTTTCTTGTTGGGCATTTATTAACAGAAAACTATAATTACATCGCGCCAGCATATACAAGCTTCAGCGCGATATTTTGAGTATGTTAATAAATAAAGTGCGCAGAAATCGATCTTACTGGGCCGCGGTGTGCGATATCACTCATAAACAATTTTTAATTGCGCACTGAATGAATTACAGGGGCGCGTTGTGCAAAGTGAATTAAATAAATAAAGTGCGCAGAAATATATCTGACTGGGCCGCGGTGTGTGATATCACTCCCATGTTAAAACTCCATTGAATTTTAAATTCTGCGGTATATCCCCTTTCGCTTTCCGTACTCCTCTAATCGCAATTGATTTTCGACCAGTTTCAGTTCTAAACCTTTTGATTGTATCTTACGGAAAGCTATAGGGGACATGCGCATAATTCAAAATCGAATGGAGTTTTAACATGGGAGTGATATCACACACCGCGGCCCAGTCAGATAGATTTCATCGCGCACTGAATGAATTACAGGGGCCGCGTTGTGCAAAGTTAATTAAAATAAAGTGCGCAGAAATTCCGGCATTCAGTGCGCGATGAAAAAATGATTATCTGTGAATAAATAACGAATAAAAATTCGTGGCACCACGAATTTGATTTTTTTCGAAAGACTGCGGAGTGAACCAGCGAAATGACAATTTTGGATAATATTGATGGCTCTAACGAGGAGAACTTTGAAATTTCCCGATTCTACCGCGCAGCACATCCAGGACCATGATGCGCACTTTTATCAGATTCGATTCTAATATGGTTTCAAAGATAATGTTCATTAAAAGAGGGCGTATGCATACAGATTACACATGGCGTTATGTTGAAGTGACCCTTGCAAAGGGTTCCATTGAAAATATATTATTTTGGGCCATTTCATATCTTTTAATTGATATTGTATAAAATATTTTCAATGTTTGAAAATTATAATCTTATAAATAACATTTTATGTAATAAAACTGTAACGAAATGGTAAATACGGAATATGATGCAATACAATGCAGTGCAATATGATGTTATACAATGCAGTGCAATATGATGCAATACAATGTGGTGCAATATGATGTAATACAATGCGGTGCAATATGATGCAATACAATGCAGAGCAATATGATGCAATACAATGCAGTGCAATATGATGCAATACAATGTAGTGTAATATGATGCAATACAAAGTAGTGTTATATGATGCAAAAAATGCAGTGCAATATGATACAATACAATGTAGTGCAATATAATACAATAAAATGCAGTGCAATACGATGCAATACAATACAGTGCAATATAATGCAATACAATGCAGTGCAATGCAATACAGTGCAAAACAATGCCGTGCAGTGCAATACAATGTAGTTCATTTCAATACAATGCAGTGCAATACAATGTGGTACAGTGCAATACAATGCAGTGCAATACATCGCAGTTCAATACAGTGCAATACAATGTAGTGCAATGCAGTGCAATAAAATACAATACAGTGCAATTCAATACAATGCAATACAACACAGTGCAATACAATACAATGCTGTGCAATACAATACATTACACTGCAATAAAATACAATGCAGTGTAATAAAATGCAGTGTAAATCAAGACAATGCAATACAATACTGTGCAATACAAAGCAATGCAGTGTAATACAATACAGTGCAACACAATGTGGTACAGTGCAATACAATGCAGTGCAATACAATACATCGCAGTTCAATACAGTGCAATACAATGTAGTGCAATGCAGTGCAATAAAATACAATACAGTTACAATGTAGTTCATTTCAATACAATGCAGTGCAATACAATGTGGTACAGTGCCTTACAATGCAGTGCAATACAATACATCGCAGTTCAATACAGTGCAGTGCAATACAATACAGTGCAATACAATACATCGCAGTTCAGTGCAGTGCAATACAATACAGTGCAATGAAATGCAATTCAATGCTATGAATGTACACCTTCTACAGTCAAATAAACACAGATAAAATTGTAATAGTATGTTAGTGTATGGAGTTTGAAGTGGGTGGGGGATACAATTACCAGTCTGCTGATTGATGACTTAATAACTTAGAAAAGATCTCCTAGCTTTTAACAGGTGGCACTTATGTCTACCTTATGTTCTTGAACAATCTCGTCTAAGAATACAGACCCGTATCCTGGATTAACCTGGGGGAGTGGTTTTACCAAGGGGGAGATTTCGCCAAGAGGGGGGAGCTTTTTGACAGTTATGGCAAAAAATCATGCGAAAAGTGCTAAGAATGGTGAAAAACTGCATGATTTTGAACGAATATTTGGCAAGGGGGAGGGGGGTGAGGCCCCCTGGCTACGGCCATGGAATACATATAGGAACTTTCCTTCTCCCAGAAGAAATGGTATACAGGTATTACATCAATCATTCTGGTATTTTGTATACGAAGGTCTGTAGTTACTTTATTGAAAGATGGCAGTGTACACTGTGTACTACCATTTTGAGGTCAGTTTGACTTTATAATTCTGCGCACTATAATCTGTAATTCTCATAGATATCCTCTCTAGAGGCATCACTGTGATCCAAAATTACAATTTCGCAGGTCAAGTCTGCAGTCTTTCGAAAAAAGTTGAATTCATTGTGCTACCCTTTCTTGTTGGGCATTTATTAACAGAAAACTATAATTACATCGCGCCAGCATATACAAGCTTCAGCGCGATATTTTGAGTCTGTTAATAAATAAAGTGCGCAGAAATCGATCTTACTGGGCCGCGGTGTGCGATATCACTCATAAACAATTTTTAATTGCGCACTGAATGAATTACAGGGGCGCGTTGTGCAAAGTGAATTAAATAAATAAAGTGCGCAGAAATATATCTGACTGGGCCGCGGTGTGTGATATCACTCCCATGTTAAAACTCCATTGAATTTTAAATTCTGCGGTATATCCCCTTTCGCTTTCCGTAGTATCTAGTATGATGGGTGTGTATATCTGTTCTCTCTTAAAAATGTTTAAAATTACGAAATGAAATATCTGCAGATTCTGTAATAGTTTTCTGCACAAAAGTGAGCGTTTGAAATTTATTAATGTCACAAATATTTAATATTTTGAACTTTTTGAAGATTGGACTTGAATGAGCAATTCTTTCAGAATTTGTCATTATTCTTAGAAATTTCCTTTGCAAAATAAATAGTCTGTTTAAGTGTTGTTGAATTGTCCCATAAAATGTTTCCATAAATTATATATGAATATACTAAAGAATAATAGGTAGTCAACAAGGCGTGTATAACGCAATGCAACACCGCCGCGGGCAATTCAAAAACGCAACTTACAAGTCACTCATGCATTGTATTAACTTTATTTCCAATACCTCCAAATTTTCTCAATTATTTTCCTCAATTACAATAAATCGAAAATTGATGATAAATTTGATGAATTTTTGAAAATCGTCATTCCCATGTAATCCAATGGGAAATGGAGGGTTCGGGGCAAATCAGAAATCAGGATATCTTTTCAGTAAAAGATTTAGCAAAAAATATTTTCATATAGAAAATTGAATTGTCTAACTTTTTTAACACTATGTGTTTAGTTTATTTGATGAATATTAAAGTTACAGCGCTTCAAAGTCATTTTTGAAAATAACTTTTCACCTCCTGTGTTATTTCAATGGGAGGGGAAACAATTTTGGAAAACAATTTTGACTTTAAAGCCCTATAACTTTGTTGAACCTGAAGAAACATATCAATTTTTTGTTAAATAAAGTTAGCAAATTCAATTGCCTGCCTAACTCGTATTTTTGCAAGGACTCGGATGGATCGATATTCTGTCATATGACTTGCGGCAAACCTACTATTTCCCATTGGTTAACATGGGAATGTCGATTTTCAAAAATTCATCAAATTCATCATCAATTTTCGACCTATTGTAATTGAGAAAAAAATATTAGAAAATTTGGAGGTATTGGAATTAAAGTCAAATTACGTTTCCATCAATAGAATAAGTATTTTCATCGCAGGTTAAGTAAATAAAAATTCAAAGGTAAAGAGGCTTTAACACGTAGTTCAATGGGGGAAAAAAGGTTGCCAAACTTATGGAGGGGAGTGTATCATGGATGGCTGGCCAAGTACGTTTTTCTTGGTATATTTATGTACAGACTATGATCACTATTGAGTTTAATGGACCTAAATTCCTGTCACTGCTGTAGCAAGAATCCAAGTCCGTCAGGAAAATACGTTCGTAGTAATTTAATAATTTTTCATATATATTATAGCTTGGAATATATGTCCGACTAGGACAACGTATACGTCGTATACAACGTCCTACGAACCTACGTTCCTAGGAATTATTTTCCAAGGGGACTCCTGTTACAACGGCATCAAATTTTGGTGTAGAAAAAACACCGACATCTGTGCCGGTGTGAAAGAAATGATGGTCCCCCGGGGATTGTGGTCCCCTTTCTCAACGGCCCTTACTGGCCCTCATTGCGTATAAGATAATGAGGGAAAGAGTTGTATTTAGGTCACCATATAAATCAATGGAGAGTAGGACCATAATTTGATAGGACCTCCTATCCGTTTACACCGGAACGGTGCCGGTGTAAAAGGGTAGGCGGTCCTATTAAATTATGGTCCTACTCTCCGTTGATTTATATGGTGACCTAAATACAACTCCTTCCCTCATTATCTTATACGCAATCAGGGCCAGTAAGGGCCGTTAAGAAAGAGGACCATAATCCCTGGGGGACCATCATTTCTTTCACACCGGAACAGCGCCGAATTTTTTCGATGCCGAAACGGCGCCGGATTATATTGGCTGTGTACTTACAGCCATCATTGTCACAAGGTTTTGCACACAGGTCAGTCGCATTGCTCTTAATCCATCATTTTACAGTCCTCATCATTGTCACATCATTTAGCAGCATGGACTGGAAATTTTTAAAGGTATTCTATCTTTATTAAATAAATCCATCATCTCATCTGCAATAGCCTGTCTACTAACAACCTCATATTTTCTCGCATAGTTTGTTTGGAGGGAGGGGGCTGTCCAAAATGTGTGCGTTAAAAGGGTTAGTTCGGCATGTTTTTAGCAAACTGGTCCCATTTGGTCACAAATAAGCCATATTCATGTTGTGTGGCTCTGTGTATGCAATGACATCTTACTGGAGCACTGGCGGACGTGGTCATTGTGATAGAGATAATGTGTTCAACTGTCCTGCCAGGTTTGAAGGATTATCCAGGACATTTACTGTGATAACATCCATTGAACTACTCTTTTGATCATTTTGATCTTTTTAGTTAATAATTATAAACAATATTTTTGAGAGCTTTGTATTTCGTTTCAGTAGATGTAGAAGTGCAGTTATTAATTCAATTTATAGTTTATACATGAAATGCTATTTAAATAAAGAGGCGTATCATCATGATCTTAGAATATGACATTTGGATAGATAAGTCCATCGACATGATAGAATCGAACAATAACCCCCCTCCCATTCTAGCGACCAAAGAGACACAATTATATTTATACCAAGGGATACGGTGAAGCCATGATGTATTTAATGCTTTGTATATCACAAGTGCATCGTTCCAATGTTCCTTCCTCAAACTAAGACCGAAGAAAACAAAACAAAACTGCAGATTTCAACTACAGACGGGCATTGGTTGAATATATACAAGAAGGATGGTGAACAGGACGACCAATTTAAAAAAATATATTGATGAAATAAAAAAGAATAAAAATAAAATTCTAATAAAAATGACTAGAATCTAAATAAAAATGACATGATTGGTTGTAATTTCAAGAATGCATTATTTGAAATACTCAGTAAACTGGAAAACACGAAAAACCAAAAAATAAAATTTTTATCATTAACATTTTTGCCATTAGATAAATAATGTTGTAGTTGTATTGTCAATAAGGATCTTGAAGTGTGATGTTAGTGGTACTGTAGGTCCTGTTTTCAAAATGGATGGGTCTGATCTTTGTCTTCAATCTTTTAGTATACATCGGCATGATGCGCTGCAGATTTTACGATGGTTTCTACATCTTTTCATGATACACTGTATTTCAGCTGAGAATTCCCCTTTTCTGGCTGTCATTGATGTTGAACCACTGATTGTCACTGGAGATACTCCTTGGACTTGTCCAATCATGGTCTTCTTGTTAAGACTGAAATGTAATTGATGGTCGCACAATTCAATCTTAACTCCTGATCTCGACCTCTCATTTTATCATTTTAAAGTTTCCGTGTGTATTTTAATTCAAGTCTGTGAGTGATTTAACAATGTTTATGCAACATAATGTAACAAATTTTCAACTTTTCAAAATTTTATTTTTTAATTTTTGGAGTCCAGTACCGTTTTTTAGCACTTCAGACAGTTTAGACAGTAGGAAAGTGTTTCCCAGTCACAGTTAACAGCTTATATACTTACATATTAGGTATAGAACACTTTAGGTGTACTGGGAATCGTGTAAACTACTATTTTTTGGGAGATTTATTTTGTTTTCGTTTGTGTACATTTTCTCTCCTATTAGAGAGCTCTGTTGACCTACATTCAATTACTCGTTTTTCCTTGCAATTTCACCAATAGAGCCAATGATGATTGGTTTTTGTTATATTTCTTTCGTTTATATCTTAATCTAGCTAGTTAATTACAAGATATGTGTTCGCTTTATGTTAAACAACGGAGTTCGTGACTGCTAGGTGAAGCCAATTATTTTGCAAAAGTTATGTCATCATTGAATCATAGTTATTTATTCTGCACTAGTGTTGTCCTGCCTGGGATTCCAGTGACTGGCCAGGTATTGCATCAGCCCATTAATCACTTGTTAGGTTCGTGTGTAAAACCTGTCTGGGGTATAAATACAGAGCACGGATCGCTCCTAGGAGACACGTAGGCAACTTTCGATTGGAACACATCCTCCGTGCCAGTGTTTCATTTGAGGATTGATGAGAAACTAAGATTTGCTGGACCGCGGAACTTTGTCATTTCCAGACATAATTTAGAATATTCCAGCCTGTTTGAAGAAATACTGCTGGACCGAGAAACTTTGTCATTTTCAGACATAGTTTAGATAACTCCAGCCTGATTGAAGAAATACTGCTGGACCGAGCAACTTTGTCATTTCCAGGCATAGTTTAGAATATTCCAGCCGGTTTGAAGAAATACTGCTGAACTGAGAAACTTGTCATTTCCAGGCAAAGTTTTTAGAATATTTCAGCCCGATTGAAGAATTCCTGCTGGACTGAGGAACTTTGTCACTTCCAGACATAGTTTAGATAATTCCAGCCTGTTTGATGAAATACTGCTGAACTGAGAAACTTTGTCATTCCCAGGCAAAGTTTTAGAATATTTCAGCCCGATTGAAGGAATTACTGCTGGATCGAGAAACTTTGTCATTACCAGACTTAGTTTGCATTATTCCAGCCTGATTGAGAATGAATGTCCGAAACTTTTGTATTTTCAGGTGTTATAAATCATGTTTTTCTATTGTTAACTTGAGAAACTTTGCCATTTTTGAGATCGAGAAACTTACATTATTCTTTTGATAATTTAGTTAACTTAAGAAACTTAGCCATTTTTAGATCAATTATTTTTCATTAATTTGTTGACGGAAGAAATACTGCTGGACTGGGGAACTTTGCCATTTCCAGACAAAGTTCATAAAATTCCAGCCTGATTGAGGAACTTTGCTGCTGGACTGGGGAACTTTGCCATTTCCAGACAAAGTTCATAAAATTCCAGCCTGATTGAGGAACTTTGCTGCTGGACTGAGGAACTTTGCCATTTCCAGACAAAGTTCATAAAATTCCAGCCTGATTGAGGAACTTTGCTGCTGGACTGAGGAACTTTGCCATTTCCAGACAAAGTTCATAATATTCCAGCCTGATTGAGGAACTTTGCTGGATTGAGAAACTCTGTCAATTTCCGACATAGTTTATACAATATTCCAGCCTGACGGAAGAAATACTGCTGGACTGAGGAACTTTGCCATTTCCAGACAAAGTTCATAATATTCCAGCCTGATTGAGGAACTTTGCTGCTGGACTGAGGAACTTTGCCATTTCCAGACAAAGTTCATAATATTCCAGCCTGATTGAGGAATTTTGCTGGATTGAGAAAACTCTGTCAATTCCCGACATAGTTTATACAATATTCCAGCCTGACGGAAGAAATACCGCTGGACTGAGGAACTTTGCCATTTCCAGACAAAGTTCATAATATTCCAGCCTGATTGAGGAACTTTGCTGGATTGAGAAACTCTGTCAATTCCCGACATAGTTTATACAATATTCCAGCCTGACTGAAGAAATACTGCTGGACCGAGAAACTTTGTCATTTCCAGGCATAGTTTAGAATATTCCAGCCCGTTTGATGAAATACTGTTGAACTGAGAAACTTTGTCATTTCCAGGCATAGTTTAGAATATTCCAGCCCGTTTGATGAAATACTGCTGAACTGAGAAACTTTGTCATTTCCAGGCAAAGTTTTAGAATATTTCAGCTCGATTGAAGAAATACTGCTGGACCGAGAAACTTTGTCATTTCCAGGCAAAGTTTCTAGAATATTTCAGCCTGACTGAAGAAATACTGCTGGACCGAGAAACTTTGTCATTTCCAGGCATAGTTTAGAATATTCCAACCCGTTTGATGAAATACTGCTGAACTGAGAAACTTTGTCATTTCCAGGCAAAGTTTTAGAATATTTCATCCCGATTGAAGAAATACTGCTGGACCGAGAAACATTGTCATTTCCAGGCATAGTTTAGAATATTCCAGCCCGTTTGATGAAATACTGCTGGATCGAGGAACTTTGTCATTGCCAGATATAGTTTAGATAACTCCAGCCTGATTGAAGAAATACTATTGAACTGAGAAACTCTGTCATTTCCCGACATAGTTTATACAATATTCCAGCCTGACTGAAGAAATACTGCTGGACTGAGGAACTTTGCCATTTCCAGACAAAGTTCATAATATTCCAGCCTGATTGAGGGACTTTGCTGGATTGAGAAACTCGTCATTTCCCGACATAGTTTATACAATATTCCAGCCTGACTGAAGAAATACTGCTGGACTGAGGAACTTTGTCACTTCCAGACATAGTCTATACAACTCCAGCTTGACTTCGCTAGATTGAGAATCTCTGTCATTTCCAGACATAGTTTATATTACTAAACTTATGTTGCGTTGGAAGACTTATTTACGGACTTATACCCTGTCGATTGAACCAAGTCCAGAACACCAGAGACAATTGTGTGCACAAGGATAATAATTATATAAAGGACTCTTATAATTAGTGTTTTATTGACAGTGAACACGCATCAAGAACTTTCATATAGTGCCTCAGTAACTAAAAACATCGATTTCCATGTATTAATTTGATGGGCTATAAATACCACAATATATGCGTTATATATAAAATTGTATATGAATGTTATGTACTGATTTCCCACGTGTATATTTAACGTATACCCTGAGACCCACAGTGACACAGTCTATTAAACAACATCCACACTACCATAATTAGGCTGAATGTTACACTGGTGGGATAACATGTGAAATCCGATATTGCATATTACACGCCTGAAATGGAGCAAGATTCCAATTTGCCACTTCCTCCGGATGTAGAGGTTGTAGGAGATGGTGACCTTGAAAAAACCGTGTTTTTCAAGAACGACGCAATGGAAATTGACAATCAAGGAGCAGCTGATGCAACTGTCCAGGAAATGAGGGATACTGATACACAGAGTGATACTTTGGGAAAGGTCACTCATTCGGAAGGAGCTAGACCCAAAACTCCAGAAACAGATGTTGAGAAGAGGGGATTACCCAGCTCATGGAGTACAGGGTATTGGACAGGAGGTGTAATGATAGATGCCAAAACTCCCTTTGAACCGAGTAATCAGAATGTCGGAGATCCTCCCCGAAGACCCTAGGCAGGATGGCAAGGAGTTTTTGGGAGGAGGACACACTGAGAAAAAATCTCACTATGGTTGAAAGCAAATTTGAGCAAAAGATGGATATTTTTAGTGAGACTTTAGTTGCTCAACAACGACAGATGCAGATGAGACCCAACAGAAATGTATGACTCAAGTTGTGGAAACCCAAAAGAAGTTGGTCCTAGGACTTACAGAGTCTCAAAACACTCAAATACACAACATCAATCAAATTGCAGAACAAGTTTGTACTGGTCAGGACCATCAGGAGGCACAATTACAGGGCATGAAGGGTCAGATGGAAAATTTCCAAAACGCCATGGAGAAATCCATCATCAACCAAATTCAGAGTTACATGCCTGTTGAGTTTCGTACTACTCCAGGAAAGTTTTTTTTTTATACATAAATTTATTCCTTTAGTAAACAATATAAGACATGCAATTTTATAAAAAAAACATTAGCGGCAATTTTAGACAATATGAATAGGAATACATTAAAATTAAAAATTTATCAAAGTAATGTTTTCACACATATAAGAAACTATAATCCCATGGGCCAGGGATGTGTTAACACATGCATGCAAAAATTAGCCAAACCGATCAATTTGGCTCAGACTTTGATTAACAAAATGACTCATAAGTTCTATTAATTTTTCATTTAATGAATTATCTAAATCTTCATCACCATACAAAAGAAACTGAATTTTGTCAACTGTGTTCAAATTCTGAACCAAAAGATGAAGATCTGAAGTTCGCAGTCCTGCAAATAAAGTTTCACGCTCGTTTACAAGCAGAGGACATTTTAAGATAAAATGAGAAGGTGTTAGTGGTAATCCACATTTACAAAAGGGATCACTAACACTGGTGAAATTATGAGCATAAAGCTGTGATTTTAAAAGGAGACCCACTCTGAGTTTGTTAAAAGCAGATTCAACATATCTAGGCATTTCGTTTACCATTTTGGTAGTGGGTAGCATGGAGACAGGGCTCTTGTAATCTCTTACTAATCTTTTGAAGCGAGATATTGGTTGACCTCTTCTCGTGTCAAGGTGTAAATTGTCCCATATTCTTATTCCATTCAAAATAGTTGACCTCCGGAATGAGTTGCTAGCTTTTGTAGGAATTAAGTAATGTCTTGTATCTCTCAGCTGCCTAGCCTGAGTATTTTCATAGGTTTGAAGTAATTCACAAATGAAAGGTGGATAAGAATTGTACCTACATTTAAACATA